AGGAGTGAGTGCAGGGGCAACTGGAGGAAGGGACGTTAAATCCGTGTTAAGATACAGCTTGAGAAATCCATGAAAGGGATTTGATGGCACAACTGGCTGTCGTAGCAGGGATGGGTCTCTTGCAGTCTCGTGTCCTACATATCTATGCCTAACAGGGGTGTGAGGTATTGCAGCGGCCAAGCCAAGGAGGCATCATTCGTCCTTCAAGATCCATGGACCTTTTCCCCATACTCCTGGGGCTCATCCCGGCCTCCTGGCATCATTCTAGGCCACACTTCTTCCTAGTGCAATTTCCTTCTGTGGTTTCCTTTGGCAAGGCTCTTTGTTCCCTGCCCAACGCTGCTCTTTGCTATTAAACAGCTGCTGTACCTCAGCCAGATTGAATAAAATAATAGTAATAGTCATTAAAATTTTTTATGTGGGTCCCCTCTTTGCAAGCATTTCAAACTATGTATTTAATGAATTGCTATTCAAATCCAAGTGCAGCTCCCTCTGGGGTGTAGCCCTGCTGTAGGTAAGCGTGTAGCACAACAGTGCACAGCAGCATAGGGCAGGAGTGAAAGGGGTTGGTGTATAAATAAACCTCCTAGCATCACTAAGTGGGGAATCATAGCCCCATTTTTGAGATGGAGGTGGTGATGAAATGTTGACTGCAAAGCCACAGAAGACAGGCCTGACGTGGGGTTTTGCAACCAGCTTGTGTTTGAGATCCTTGTCCCTGAAAGCTTTGCTCACATTCATGAACCATCCATGTGAGGCTAACATTGAACTGCAGCTTTGCATTGGGATCAGGGAGCAATCCTGATGTCCATCCCTGGGCCTAAAGTGGCTCTGATGGACTTTTGCTTTGAGAGTCTGGAGCTGCTCGCACCAGGAGAGCGAAGTGAAATTCAGTGCATGTGAGGGAGAGAGACACAGAGGCACGGATACAAACCTACTTTGATTTGTCTTGCAGCAGCATGAAGGCCCTCAAACCAAGATAAATCACCTCGTCCAGTCTACGGGTGGAAGCATCATACCAGAGCGAAGGATTATTTAGTTCCTTATGCTGGGCTCATCCCCGTGCACCACCCAGAATTGCATTCAGTGACACGACTAGCATCTCAGAAGGCAGGGTAGCATTGCACCTTATCGACTAACTAAATCAGAGATACATAGCATCCGCTTTCATAAGCAGCTGGCTTGCTTCAGCCCATGCTTTCAAGCAAGTTGATGCCTGTGAAAGCTGATGCTATCTTTGATTTAGTTGGTCTATAAGGTGCAAACCTATCTTAACTTCATGGCTCGCTACCTCTCTACATTCAGTATCTGCTATGGGTTGCTTTTCCTCTCCAGTACGACGGAAAGCTTGTGCACTGGAGTGCCATGCTTCAGTAGGGAGATTTTCAGTACCTGCGTTGCTCAGTACTTTTATCTTAGAAAAAGGAGGTCAAAGAAATATGCCTGGTACTTCGGGGGACCCCAGCTCAGCCCCCAAGCTGCACGGCTGTGACAGCGCAGACTAATTTATCCCACTTCTCATGGTTAATTACTTTCCCAGCAGGGTAAATTAGCCGAACGCAGCCGCTGTTGGGATCAGAGCTAGCTCACTGCACACTAGTGGGTGTCTCTGCCCCACGCTGCATTTTGCCATGTGGAAGGTGGGGAGCTCAATCCAAAGCCTCTGAGGAGCCCTGCCTCTGGCACTAGTGAATGTGACACGCCTTGCACACTGTCCTCTTGCACCGGGAGCAGATTTGTCACTTATAGCTGCGGTATTTCGGGGTGTCCACACTGCACAATGAGAAGATGGGGCAACAAGCTCCATGCACTGGCTCGTAGCCTGGGCACGTGAGGATGAGATGAGGCGGTGAGCAGAGGTGCATTTTGCTCCTGAGCACACTGGAAAATCAGGTCTCCATCCCAGCACCAAGAGGGACAGCTTCCCCTCTGCTTCTCGTCCCAGAGTTAATGCATCTGGAGTGGGGATGAGTGGGCAAGGCAAATTGTCTTGGCAGCAGGATGCAATGCAGACATAACCTTGGAGACTCTGCTCCAAGCTGTGGATCACCATGGAGATGAAGACAGAGACTTGAACTTGATCCAGTGCACAGTGGGAAGCCTTGGTAGTGGGGAGGGCAGCTCCCGCGCTCTTGCCCTCGGGCTGAGATGTGCCAAAGTGTCCTGGGATAACTGCAGTTTCCTCAGCACTGAGCCTCGAGTCCAGACCGACTGTGTTGCTGGAGTCCAGCCCACAGGGGATAACACCGGGGCGTCCTCTGCCAGGATCCTCTTTGGCAGCCAGAGAGGATAAAGAGCATCACCTACACCCCCTGCTTCCTTGCTTACAGCAAGAACATAAGAGAAGTCTCAAAATATGAGCTGGAGGGTGCCTCTTAACAACAGAGACTGCTTGTACATGCAGCCCCCTCAGGACCCTCCCACAGCCCATGCCCCCCCGATCCACCTTGCTCTGGCTCCATGCCTGGGTGACCCCTGGACCATCGTGACGGATGCTGAGGATGTAGGCTGGAAGGGCTTGTAGGGCCGTGTCAGCTGCAAGTGCATGTTACCTCATCTTGACGTGTCATGTGGAGGTCTAAAAGAGCTTGTTCCTGGGAAAAATGAGAAGCCAGGGGGTGATACTAGCACCCATTGAGCACAATGCATCTAAAAAGGACTTTAACTGCTTTCATGCATGACCCTGGCTGCCAGCCACCTCTCCTAGGCAAGCAAACATTGCATTGTGCCAGCCCAATGCTTCTCAACCGGGGTCCCACAGCCCACCGGGGTGCCTTGAGATCCACCCCTTTCCACGGGGTGCCACGCCATGTTAGTACATCTAGTTGTGCAAGCAGGATGCACAGAATAAACCCATAGATTTCACATAGGAATGCAAAGATGGGTCTTTCTGAATTTTTTCGCAACAGAAAAAAATGCTCTGTTATTTTTCTGTAGGTGAAAAAAAAAGTGAAAATGAAGAGCTGGCATTTTCTAAGTGGGGTCTCGAGCCTATCCAGGGATGGCTGCATAGGTTGGGAACCCCTGTGCTAGGCATAGCACCGACACAGCGCAAATGCCCCTGTTTAAAGGGATGCAGCGTCTCACTAAGCGAAGGGAGGAAGCAATACGAGCGGATCCATAACCCGTGCCCTTTGCTTCTTTCCTACCGGCCCCAGGCCGAGGGTGCAGGCTGCACGAGGAAGAAAGGAGACACGGTGCTCGGCTTGGTACTTGTGTGCGTTTATAGTCCCAGATGAGAGCGCTCACTTGAAGGCCTGTGCCGTGCAAGCAGCGCTCAGAGCAGCTCGGCCTTCGGACACGCTTCCTGCTTGGCACGGCGGCGGGCAGGAAACTTTCAGCTGGCAAAATAAGTGTGGACAGTAGAGGGAGCCAGGATCCCCTGCTATCCAAAACCAGGGGGACAATTCAGGGCTGGGAAAAGAGCCTTGTCTTTATGCCTGTGGGCCGCTGGTCAGCCTTCGGAGTAGGCAGAGACCTCTGACCCCCCACAGCCATCTCCTGCAGCCTGGGCAGCGTGGAGTTTGCAGAAGTACCCCAGAAGCAGCCCCATACGTGGGGTCCCTTTAGGACCTGACTCTCCCCGCTTCCTTCCAAGGGGACGCCCAGCTCCCAAAACGCAGCGACTGCTGGGCATGGTCCAGGCAGATGTGCCCCCTCCCCTCCCCTCCCCTCCCCTCCCAGCCTGGGGCTGCTTGTCGTGGCAGGGCAGGACGAGGGCCTGTCACTTTCCCACCCGCGGCCCAGGTGCACAAGGCCCGGCCTGCGTTGGATTTGGTCTATTTGCTGCCGCTCACCTTGCAGCACAGCAGACGCAGGGCAGGAGCCAGAACTAAAACTCTCCCAGGTCTTGGTTATCATCCTGCCCCTGGGCTCCTGCTCTGGGGGACCCCAGCTCCCTCCCTGCCGCTCACCACAGCCCCTGGTCGTCTCTCGGCCTTTGTCCCACGCTGCCCCGACTGCCCTTCCAGCTGTTCCAGGGATGGGGGAGGAGGACAACCCCCTGCACCTCCCCCAGAGGCACAACTGGAAGAGGGCAGGCCCCCCCCCACCACGGCTGCAACATCTGGAAGGGAAGTGCCCCCTCCTCTGACTGCCTGGCACATCTGGAAGAGCCAGCTGCTGCCCTGGCAGCACATCTGGAGAGGGGAGGGAAACCCTCCTCCTTTGCATGACGAGGCGTCACTGGGGGGGGGGGTGAGCCAATCAGGGGTGAGGGGGCGGGGACAAGGAGCCTCCGGAAAAGAAAGTGCCGCGGCAACAAAGTAGCAGACGGGCTCGGCCGGGCAGCGGGTGAGTGCGGGGCGCCGGGGCCGGCGGGCGGGTGGGCGATGGGGGAGGGCCGGGGTCTCTCCTGGACCCCTTCCGGCACTGCCTCAGTTTCCCTGTGCAGGCCGAGGGCTACAGGGTGGCAATGGGCACTGCCCCGGGGGCAGCAGCGTGCCTGGGGGCCACGTCTGGTGGCCGCGCACCAGCAGCCCCCGAGACCCGGGGAGGAGAGCCAGCGCCATCCTTCGCCCCTGGGCACGGGGGGGGGGGCTGGACCGTCCGCTTCGAGCCGGGCACTTTATTTTACCCTCCATGTTTCAAGTCCCGGAGCCTGGCACGCCTGCCCTGTTCTGCTGCCCGCCTGCTATGTTAGATGGGGAGGGGGACAAATCCCCCCAGCCGCTGGGAAGCCCTGCATGCTCGGTGTTACCGAAGACAGCCGGGCGCGGGTTTGGGGCGGGCAGTGTTAGCTAGGCCAGGCGGCTTTGCGAGGGGTGGGGAGAGCAGCAGGGAGGCCGCCAGGCCCCCACCTCCAGCGGGGTCCAGGCCCGTGACCCGTGTCAATTAGTTTTGTACATCAGTGGGTTAATAATTGCTGCAGAGCACAGCCCCACGCACGATGCCCAGGGGGTGGTGGGGCTTTCTCTAGGTCTGTGGTCATGTAGGTCCTAAATTCACCCCTGCGTACGTACACACATCCTCACGCTCGCACGCGCTCCCCTACAGCCTTTCTGCTTACGGCCCAGCTCGTTGGGATGCACTTGCCAAACCTCGCCTGGCATCTGTTCAAACGTCCTGTGCTGGGCCGAGGAGCGGGTTGTGTCTCTCATTTATTGTCATTATCCCAGCAAGCGCCCTCTCTTTTGCTCCCTTTTTACCTCTGGATTTACGAGGCCCCATCCTTGTCGGCGGAGAGTCGCACGCTCTCATCAGCTTGCTTCTGTCTCTGCTGCCGTCTCCCCGCTCCCAGCCTGCTGGGACTGGGAGCCCCGCACGCCGACAGCTTTCCGCACGTTATTTATTCGGCCTCGTGCAGAGTGCACGCGTCTGGTCGCAGAGAGAGCCATTTATCACCGCCTGCCTCGGAGGACGTGTGTGTTGCATTGTTGTGCGTCTGGCAGGGAGCACCGGTATTGTGCGAGCGCAGCAGGAGCTGGGGTAGCAGCCCCGGGCATCGCCCCATCCAGGCAGCTCGGTTGTAGAGCACCAGTGAAGGACTTCGGGTGCCCTGCTTCCCTGCTGTGCCAGGGACAGGGGTGAGCAAGGGGAGGTGGAGCCGTGCAAGCGTTAAACACCTAGGGCCGGTGGGAATGCCCATGGAGGGATGTGCCCGGCTCTGGGGTCACCTTCTCCAGGGAGCATCTGCTCTGACGGTGTCAGGCCCTCGTGTCTCCCAAGCCAGTGGTTTTTGTGCTGATCTAGCTGAAGGGAGCAGGGGAGAGGGGCTGTGGCGGTGATGGGGCAGAGGAAGGGGAACAGAGGACATAGGTGGTGTGAGATGCAACGCGCTTCTGGTGGAAGCAGGGGAGCAGCGTGCAAGCAAAGGGCTTGTTGGAGAAGGGTTTGCACTGGAGGACCAGGCTGTGCCAGGGGGGTGAGGCGCTTGCAGATAAGGGCAGGACTATTCAGTGGGACCTTGCAGTGCAGGGACTTAATGGAGACAGCAGACCTGAGCAGAGCCTGGGGGTTGCATGGTGAGGCCCCGAGAGGGCAGGGGGGAGGTCATGGGACTGGGGGTTGCCTCTTGCTGCAGTGATAAACTCTGGAGCCTGCATGCTGAAGGGGAGAGAAGAAGCTATGTTAGGGGAGTAAGCCCGTAGATGAATACCCCTTAGTGCCCCCTCTCTGCCACCCACCTGGCAGTCGGACACCAGTGTGCAAAATGCTGTCTCGATGGGAGCAGGTCGCAGGGGTTGTGCAGGCTGAGGGGCTCCGGCAGGACCTCTTCTCTCGGGCACGGGTGAGGAGGGCAGGAGCCGGCCCAATGTCCAGCGCACAGGCTGCTTTGCAGAGCTGGACGGTAGAAAAGATGTGAGCGGAGGGGTCCTGGCCTCCTGGTCTCCCCTTCACCCCACCGCCAAGCGCCACACTGCTTTGGGGGGACGCTGCAGGGCTTTGCAAAGCATCGGGTATTTAAAAGAAACCGAGGAAGAGGCGCTGTGGAAATGACAAGTCGCTCCACGCTGGGGCACTTTCGGAGACGCAAGCTCAGGTCCTCCCTTTCCTCAGCATCTCTTTTCACTTGCCTCGGGCCATTTGACTAAAAGAATAACCGCCCCTTCTTCCAGGCCTGCACTGAGGACTCTTTTGCTCCCTGCACCCCTCTAATTTTTTTGCAATCTCTGTTTTGCAATATTTATTCTGGAAAACGGTGACTCGCAGAATAAAATCCACTCCTACAACCTCAGATTTAGCACGTGGTGCAACCCAGATTAGAAATGGGCGCCGTGCAGGGCTAACTAGACAGGGTTTGTTCTGTGGCTGGAGGCTGATAGAGTGGCCTGAATGACGGGAGGGGGGTAAATCGGTGTTAAAAGTATGTTCAGTTTTCGGTAGTCCAACATGGACTTGGGGCAAGAAGGAAAGGACTTTTGTGGGCAGAAGTTTCAATGTGTTTCTCTCTCTTTTATCCCTGGAACTGGGAAAGATGCAACACGTGGTCTCCAGATTTTGGAGATAAATCCAAATGCCAGGAACCATTTCTCTTTCGACCCTGGCTCTGCCCATAGAGCCTCCCTGGTTCCCTTGTGCACAGCAGTCCTTGCACAGTGCCCTGTGGGGTTGCTTAGGTGAGCACGTCCGCGGATAGCCAGAAATGTTTGCAAACCAGTGACCCTAATGCTTAGAGCTAACGGGAAGTCGTGTAACTTTATGTTGCTATAATTTATGCCAAATTATATGTGGTTTTCTGTTAGAGGGACACTGCATTTTTCCTCACTGAGATTTTCCATTTATTGTGCTGCTTGTGCTTGTAGCCGTTTCTTTCCTCCTGACTGGTTTGCCTTGTGTCCTAGATGTAAATAACAAACTAATTACCGCTAATCCCAGTGCCGGGGAATTGGATTTTTAAAGGTGAAAAATAATTCCCACCGTTAGCTTGGCAATGGCATTTTAGGGCGTTTCACCGTGCAAAGAGATCGAAATGGTGTGGTTTGATTTTTTTATTTTTTTAAGGTTCTTCCTGTGATATTTAGACTGGCATTTTGAATCATTTAGAAAACAAATAGAAATGAAAATAGCGTTATGAAATGGATTTGGCCATGCACTGGACGTGGTGATTAATGTAATCTAATGACTCTGTCTTGCTCTTGCTGAAATCAGTGGGAGTTCTGCCACTGAAATTCGAAAGGAGCAAAAATAAGCCTTAATTCTGGAAAGATTTTGTAGAGAGACACTTACTACTTAAAGCAATAAATTGCATTTCTGTATTATCCATAAGCTGGGGCTCTTGTGTACCCGGCAAACCAGCCAGAAGATGGCTTGTTTCTAAGGATTGCTGCATAATATTTGCAATGGTAAGGCAGGTTTGAACTACAGTTTTCAGAGAGGGATGAGGAGCCGCTTTATCCACAACAGCAATGCAGATCGCAGCGCTGAGGGAGCCGAGTTAACTTTGTGCGCCGGTGTTCATGAAAGCATGTGGAAGCACTTTGCACATCTGGAGGGTCACGCCCGTGTGAGGCAGGATGGCACTAGCATCATTTTATGGGGATTTGACTCCAAATTGTTCCATTTCTCTCCTAACCCTTTCGGTTGGTCTGCTAAAAGAGACCACATTTACCCAAAGAAGCTTGCCTGCCTACGTCCTTAGACCAACACAGCTACACCCTACACCCCTGCACAAACCTCTTCATCACTGACTCGGTTGCTTGATCAGCCCGATGTGCCTGGAGCTTTCTGTGCTGTTTGCTGTAGGAGAGTCAGGGCCCAGTCCACATCACCATGTAAAATGGAGGTGCCCAAAACCAATGGATGGTTTAGAAACCTGTGGATTTCCAAATGCTCAGCAATGCACTGCTGGAGCCCAACAGCTGGTCCTACGTAAATGCTGCACTGCAAAGAGCCAAATGCCTCCCCCGCCCTACACCCACTGCCAGCCAGCCTCTCAACAAGACAAGAAAAATAAATCCAGCTTCAGTCCACCTATATTTGTTAGCGACTGTTGGTCAGAGGCCCTGGGACCTGTAGCAAGTGTTTACCCCGAAGGTCAGGGCTTTGCAAATATGGTTTTATGTACAGGTCATTGGATTTCTTCCCTGGAGAAATTGCCCTCCCTTGTTTGCAAATGTGATAATGGTGGAAAATCTGCTTGCTGCAGCTTAATGCGATTGGGCTGGCAAGCTCCGACGGTGAGCGTGCGCGGGTGTGTGCACGGGGACAAGAGGAGCAGGTCCGAAGCAGTGTCTGGCTCCCAGGACGGACGTCGGGAAGCAATCCTGGCTGGGTGAAGTGCAGCGAGAGGTGGGCACCAGTGTCTGCTCGGGTAGAGGGCATGGTGAATGCCTGCTTGATTTTTGTTTTGGGCTCTTTCATGCAAGCAGCACCCGATCAAGAATGATGGGCTGCCTTCTCCCTGCCACCCAAAAACCCTTGGCCACTTTAGCCATTGTCAATACAGGGGATTGGTGCCTGCCTTCTTCCTGCCAAGGATGCTATGAGTGCTTCATTCTCCCTCCCAGCTCTTCATGCCACTTGCCTTCTGGTCTCTCCTGCAGCAGTGGGACACAGTTACTTCAGCTGGATGCAGATGTTACACTTAGTGTGCATTAAGTGCACAGAAAGCACTTTAAAACTGTAACCGAACAGACATTCATGGCACGTAAAGTGCTTTAAAAATGGCAGGTCCGGCTCTAAGTTAACCCTGGATGGAGGTGCCTTTAGACTAAAGTGCTTTAGGTTATGGTGCTTTTTTGAACGTCTGTACTGCCTCTTCATTGCTGGGGCTGAGAAGCAGAGTGTGGTGGGTCATGGGAAATACCGGCCATGAAGAAAAGCATCGGGAAGCCAAGCCAGCAGCGGGGGGC